GCTTTTAAGTACCTGCTGAGCTGTGTTTGCCATTCGATTTATGGATTTTATTTCATCGTTAACCCACCCTAACAGGCTGAGCTGAACGGCAGCCTCCTTAAAATTTAAGATCAAGGAGAACGAGACCAGTGAAGTCCCGGCGAAGCTTAAAATGTGACTTTGTCGTTGCTGTTCCCAAGGTGAACTGAGAAATTCAAGGGGATTGCGCCTGGCCGAATTCACAGGTGCATACGCTATCTGGGTTTGCTCCTTATTACTCCTGGCGGGGTGACTTTGGGCCAATCACCAGGAGACGGTGAGTTCTAGTCCCGCCTTAAGACATCAAAGAGATTTTGGCCCAATCACCAGGAGACAGTGAGTTCTAGTCCCGCCTTAAACATCAAAGTGACTTTGGACCAATCACCAGGAGACAGTGAGTTCTAGTCCCACCTTAGACATCAAAGCAACTTTGGCCCAATCACCAGGAGACAGTGAGTTCTAGTCCCACCTTAGACATCAAAGTGACTTTGGGCCAATCACCAGGAGACGGTGAGTTCTAGTCCTGCTTTAGGCATGAAAGCTGGCTGGGTGACTTTGGACCAATCACCAGGAGACGGTGAGTTCTAGTCCCACCTTAGACATCAATGAGATTTTGGGCCAATCACCAGGAGACAGTGATTTCTAGTCCCGCCTTAGACATCAGTGACTTTGGGCCAATCATCAGGAGACGGTGAGTTCTAGTCCTGCTTTAGGCATGAAAGCTGGCTGGGTGACTTTGGGCCAATCGCCAGGAGACAGTGAGTTCTAGTCCCGCCTTAGACATCTAAGCGACTTTGGCCCAATCACCAGGAGACAGTGAGTTCTAGTCCTGCTTTAGGCATGAAAGCTGGCTGGGTGACTTTGGGCCAATCACCAAGAGATGGTGAATTCTAGTCCCGTCTTAGACATGAAAGCCATCTGAGCGACTTTGGGCCAATCCCCAGGAGACAGTGAGTTCTAGTCTCACTTTCGGCATGAAAACCAGCATGGAATTTTGGGCCAATCCCCAGGAGATAATGGGATCTAGTCCCGCCTTGCGCACGAAAGCTGGCTGGGTGACTCTGAGCCAATCACAGGAGACGGTGAGTTCTAGTTAGGAAATTTCTCCTTAATTCTGGGATTGGATCTCTCCTTGTTGAGTTTCCATCCGTTGCTTCTTGTCCTGCCTTCAGGTGCTCTGGAGAATAGCTTGACTCCCTCTTTTTTGGGGCAGCCCCTGAGAGATTGGAAGGCTGCTATCATGTCCCCCCTCGTCCTTCTCTTCATTAAACTAGACAGACCCAATTCCAGCAACTGTTTTTTGTATATTTTAGGCTCCAATCCCCTGATCATCTTTGTTGCTCTTCTCTGCACTCTTTCTAGAGTCTCAGCATCTTTTTTGTATTCTGGTGACCAAAACTAGATGCAATAATCCAGAAACACGATGGACTGAAGGATGGCTACTCTTTGATCACCGAGAATCCTTCACGCACCACACTGCTTGGCGCCTCCTCGGAGTTCCCAGCTGTGCCAACAATTGTCACCTTTAATTGCTTGACAAAACAGCAGCTGCGGCTTCTCCCCCCCACCCCCCAAGGCAGAACCTGCCTCATCCACTTATTGTACAAGGAAATCAGATGCCCTTCACCTTCCACTTCAACGGCGTGCATCCACATGTAACACAACCAAGAGATTTTTGGCTGGCTCAGTCAAGCCAGCGATCCTTTTCGTTTGCTCTCCCTATCCCATCAAATTGGGGCTGCCTTTTTAGAATAGAAAAGTTCTCAATAGCAACCCCCCCAATTACCAGCAGATAATAACCTTACTAGAAACCATTTCTCGAGATGGATGAATGGATGGATATATGGAGGAAGGGATGGATGGATGGAGAGAGAGAGGTAGGTAGGCAGACAGATAGACAGCAGACAGACAGACAGATAGAGAGATAGATTGATTGATAGATAGACAGACAGGAGATAGATAGATAGATAGATAGATAGATAGATAGATAGATAGATAGATAGATAGATAGATAGATAGATAGACAGACAGACAGACAGACAGAGACAGACAGACAGACAGACAGACAGACAGGGAGATGATAGATAGATAGATAGATAGATAGATAGATAGATAGGTAGGTAGGTAGGTAGGTAGGTAGGTAGATAGATAGATAGATAGATAGATAGATAGATAGATAGATAGATAGATAGATAGATAGATAGATAGATAGATAGATAGATAGATAGATAGATAGATAGATAGACGGACAGACGGACAGAAAGACAGACACAGATAGATAGATAGATAGATAGACAGAGATAGATAGATAGATAGATAGATAGATAGATAGATAGATAGATAGATAGATAGATAGATAGATAGATAGATAGATAGACAGACAGAGACAGATAGACACAGACAGACAGACATATGGATGGATGGACAGAAAGACAGAGATAGATAGATAGATAGATAGATAGATAGATAGATAGATAGATAGATAGATAGATAGATAGATAGATACGATAGATAGATACGATAGATACGATAGATAAGAGAGAGGTGGGGAGAGCGAGACCCCCCCGTACATTTGAAACCATGAATACTGCTGGCCTGCTGGATCCAAAACTTTTATTTCAATGCTCGGAAAGTCTTTTAGAAGTTGTGAAAAAAGGGGTAAAAGAAATAAAGCTTTTGCCTACCTCTTAAAATAATAACAGGTTGGAATATTTGGTAGAAAACCAGAAGGCCTGCCCCTTACTTAGGCCATGGGCTTCCCACGGGGCCTTGAGGCCGCCATTAAGCTCTGAGCAGGTGTTACATTACTTTCCAGCCTCCCCTCTTCATTCCGCCTTCTGGGCCTTTCCGCGGTGACCTTCCACCTGCGGAGTCCTCTGCCTTCACCTTTGCTGACACCTGCCGCATGTTAGCCATCCTGGGACCTCAGAGGATCATTTTATAGCTGAAGGCCAGGTGCAGGCAGAGGGAGGGCAGGAGCAGGAAACTCAGGATTGAAACCCCGGTGGCGGATAAAGGAAGTCGGGTTCTTTGTTTCTGCGGACGCTGCCTTCATCCTAACTAAGTTGGCTTACATCTATAATTCAAGGCCAGTCCTTGGTGTCTCAAGAGTGCTGAGGTCCTAGGGAAACATCTGTCTGTCCGTTTATTCTATCATCTATCTATCTATCTATCTATCTATCTATCTATCTATCTATCTATCTATCTATCTATCTATCTATCTATCTATCTATCTATCTATCTATCTTTTTATCTATTTATCTCTCTCTCTCTCTCTCTCTATCTATCTATCTTTCTATCTATCTATCATCTATCTATTTATCTTTTTATCTATTTATCTATCTACCTATCTTTCTATCTATCATCTATCTATCTATCTATCTATCTATCTATCTATCTATC